ATCTTCTTGTTGGTTAGCTCTAGGTCTTAGAAAGTCCTTCCTCCCAGTGACTTATAACTAATTTAGAACAGTAAGATCCAGAAAACAAGCCATCTCCCTCCCTCTTCCATTGATGGCCCTGGAACCATTTGAAGGTATTTGTCATTTCTGACCTTAGCCTTTCATCTAAACGCCACCAGCTAAGCAGCCATTCTTCGTTAGATGTGGATTCTATACCACTGACTAACCTGGTCCCTCTCTTCTGAAAATATTCCTAGAACCACCACACTGAGACTGGGAGGCTGTTGATGCTCATGATGAGACATGGCCTTTTTTGGAGTGGAGTATCATTATCTTCTTACAACAGCACATAAGTGGCTGCTGAGCCAGGAAGTGTATATCTTATTCCTTCCTAAGTGAGAGATTCCAGAATAGGATGTGTCTGTTTATTGTTCTAGCATAGCACCTTATGTGTAATAGGCACCTGACAAATGGCTTTGAAGAAAGGCACAAGCTAAGTTTTCCTCCTTAGATACTTAAGCAATAATTTTAGACCCATTTTGCATTTTTTGTGATTAAAATTCATCTTTCCGTTTGTAACCTTTTGATGCTCTATTTTTGAATCTGTCATCTGTCTATGGTGCAGTCACTTCCAACTTTTGTGTCGAATACAGATTTGGGGAGCATGTCATTTGTGTCAACACTATTGAATTAAAAAATACTGAGCTTTGGTTATTTTGTGTTTGTTTTTTTTGTTGGTTTTTTTTTCCCAATCTGATATAGTGGCTTGATAGAAAACATTCTAGAGTCTATAGGCCTTAATAATAATATTATTACAATTTACCAAATAAGTTGTTGTTGACTTTCAGGACTTCAATCACTTCAACTGTAAAATAATTTACTTGCCTCAAAAAGTTGATAGGATAATCAACTATGATAATATACATGGAAGAAGTTTTGAAGATGCTAAAAAATTATTTAAATTATCAAGTGTTACTGTTATTTATGATCCCTTGAGAATCTCCTAAGTTAAGGAGAGTAGTTTTATTATTGTCCAAAATTTTGTGATTTTTTTTTTTATAACTGTTGATTACCTAGGATTGAGTATTTCCGTTTATAAAAATGTAGCATAGTTTTTGTTGTTGTTGTTACTTGATTTGGTTCAGGTTAGGGTTTTTTTGTTTCTTGGCAGTGCTAGGATTTTAACTTAGGACTTCAAGTTGCTAGGAAGGCTCTCTGCTGCTTAATCCATGCCTTCTGCCTCTTTCATAGTTTAGTAATTTGGCTTGTCATAGGAGTGGGTACTTCCAGAGTTATGATCCAATTCATGTGTTTCAAATGCTTTCATTGTAACTATATTTTGTGCTACACAGGACTTTGTTTTTTTGTAATTTAAATTGTGAACCCATGAAATTTTATTAGCTTCTTTGAAAAAATCTGTATTAGCACTTCAGTTGTGTTTGTTCTGCTAAATTACCTTGACTTTTTAATTGAAAGGCAGTTTATTTATAATTTTGGTTTCAGTATTATAGAAAGTCATGGAAATACTTAATGATCATGTAGTTTAAACCCTCTCTGTTGAGCAGGAAATTATCTTGTCTGCCTGACTTTCAATAGATGACATTCACCACTGGATATATCAGACTCTAAACTGAAAATTCAAATGGAAGTCAAATTCAGACTTGTAACAATGAGCTTCTACTTTATGCATTCCCCAGAACACTGGGGAATATATTAAATCAGTCCTGACATAGCTGTCTTTCCCCATTCTGATCATGAAGATCTTTATTTAACCCTTTCCTGTGTAAATTATTTTGATTCTTTGGTTTCTGCAATAATATAAAATTTTAGCATTTCCATCCAGAGTTTTTTTTTAAAAAAAAAACAAAACTCTTGAACATCATCTGTATAATAATAAAAAGAAGCAAGCACTGAGAGATGAATGAAAATGCTTGATTTTTCATGACAGCCTCTAAAGTTAGATCATTCATTTATTCTGTATATAATTCATCCCATATATAATGGCCTTTTTATCCTACATGCTATAGGAATTCTAATAAATGAACTGGGCTGTATGGCCACTGGGTGTGGACATCAGTTCCTTGGGTCAGTTCATCCAGTGATGATCAGTTCTGAGTCAAGGAGTTAGCAAACTCATGAAGTAGAGTTGTGTCAGCTGTTAATGCATACTTACAATGAAATTTCTCTTTTGTTAAATAGGCAAGATGTCACATAATTAAAAAGTTGAAATAGTAGAAAGAAACAAATTTCTCTTTTCCTGTTGCCCTCAATTTCCCTGCCTAGAGACAACACTGATTGCATTTCTTCTGCATTGCCCCAGAGAATTCTATACATTTACAAAGTGTTGTATCCTTTCCTTAAAACTATAGTACACTTTTCAACACCCTTTTCACTTATGTGTCTTAGGTATCATTGTTAATGTACACAGTTACCTCGTTTTGACGGCTGAATAATATAACTGCTTGAACGTTTTATGAATTATTAACCAACCCCTTGTTGGTGGTCAGTTAGCTTGTTTTTAATCTTTTCCTACTAGAAATAATCTTTCAGTGAGTGTTCTTTTGTATACCTATTCCTGCATAGTTGTGAGATAAATTCCTAGAAGTGGAATTGCTGAATCAAAGAATAAGCACATTTATTTTGATACACATTTCCAAATTACCCAGTAGAAGATGAACTACATACAGTTTCAACAGCAATGTTTAACCGCAATAGAACTTTTATCTTTCAGATGACAGTTATTTCTGCCCCTACTTCCAGGTTGCTCCCAGAATTTAGATGCATAGAAAACAAGAATTTGAAGATTGTTTATGGCATGAAATGAGGATAAGGGAGCTAACTGTGTGGTCTGACGGGTTTCCAGACAAGGCCAAGGCTTTACCAGATGCTACTCCTCTGCCAAGCCTCTCTGTTTTTATCAAGCTTAATAAAAATAAATAAAATGAAATCCCTCTTCAAGGCCCTATGCCAATTGTTCCTTTCCAGTACATACTTACTAAATTTTCCTTCATTCTTTTGACACATAAGATTCTATTACTTATAGATTATGATTATTTTCAGTTATTACATTTTAATTTGCCTGATTATAATTATATGCAGAGTTATAGTTCCTTCTGAAATAAGAACATAAAAATTCTAGCCTTGTTTTTTCCTAAAAATAGCTAATTCCCTCAGTAGTTTGTGAATCTGTACTCAGAAGTAGCACGTGTTGGTCCCTAAGGCTTAATTTTTCTTGTCATTTAATTCAGTATCTTTCTTGTTTTAATTCCTAGGCCCGTTTGTGTTAGGTCAGTAGTCCTCTCTGCCTAATTACCATTGAGTAATCTGTAAATTATTGGAAAGAATCTGGAAATAGAATATATTCCATTCCTGGATTTCCTAAGGTATCACTAATGAGTCATGTGTAAGTAGAATGTTCTGATTTGCGTGACCCATGTCTAGCCAATATATAGTGAACTGGAGGTGTTAGGCTGAACTTTGTTTTTAAGACTTTCTCAAAAATGATGTCATATTTGAAATGGTATTTACTGTAACCATTCAATGCTTCACATGTAATTCTATGAATAATTTGGTCACTATGTTAGCAATATGTTCTTTACTCAGTAAGTCATTCTTTGGTTCTCTTTTTTTTTGGTGACACTGGGGTTTGAAATCAGGGCCTCAACACTTGCTCATGGGAATTTTATCACTTGAGCTACTCTGCCAGCCCTGTTCTTTGCTTCTCTATCTTCATAACTATCATCTGTTCACATAAATAAAAGGAAGCCAAAGCAATTACCAACTATTTTCATTATTAGACTATACTAAATACTTTATAATCCTGGAAGGCTAATGTAATTAGAGAAATTCTATTAGAAATTAGTGGTTACTATCATCATCTTCCCCTTTGATAATGTCTTGGGCTGTTAATGGTTGCAATCAGTTATAGAGAATTCTGGTGATTTATATATGTTCTGTGAATCTATGAATAAAACATAAGAGATTTACTGTAACTTCCTTAGCAGTTCTGTAAAGAAATTTTTTTCTTAAATGTTTTCATTAAAAATATTTTCCCTGTAACATTAAGCTTAGAATAAATTCTCGTTGTAATAATGGATATAATATATTAGGATAGAGATACATGTTTTAGGCTTCTAAATAAGGTATCAGCTTTCCCCTTTGGTTCTGTTTTTATCCGCAAAATTAGTGAAAATCTGTTGGCCAACAGTAGCAATGATAAAATTGTTTAGGGTGAGTTTCTGATATTCTTATAAGAATAACATCCTTTTTCAACATAATTCACTACAAAATAGTGTTAATAGGGTTTTGATGGGCTAATCTGGGGTACTAACCACTTCTGTTTTGTTTTGCTTTGCTTTTTTTATTTGTTTTTTTGTAGCCCAGGTTGCCCTGGAACTCAGGATCCTCCTACCTTAGCCTCCTAGGTATTTTATTATTTTAAAATAAGTTCCTTATTTTAAAAGAAACTATTGACACAAAAATCATTCCAAAATTGAGGACTAATTTTATTGTGTTCCTCTAAGAATTCCATACTGAATGTTTATGTTGTATTTGAAAGTTATTATGGGTCTCTGTATGTATGTAATTTTTAATAACATTTAATGTTTCTTACATGTATCCTTAGGTTTTAAGTTCTCTTTTAAATTATAAAGTGATTTTGAATTAAGCTGCTGTATTTTATCTTTGCCCCTGTCCCCAGGGGGGAAAGTACTTTTTAATTATATTACAGTGGTAAATTGCTTTTGTGCTTTGGAATAATCCAACAGAAAGGTAAAGCAAATAAACTGGTAATCCTTCAACAAAAAATTCTTTTCATACTTATTCCAGAAAAATCTGAGCAAATAGCTAACAGATGTATGATGCTTTGTCAAACTTAATCACTACCATTGAGGAGATGAAATTGCAGAGCTGGTGCTTAAGAAAGAAAACACCCAGAAGACCTATCTGCCATGATTCATTGCCACTGCCATGGAACTAAAATGTTTGTGTTTTCATTTCAGTGACGTTGTATGCCTCCTGCATTCTCCTGGGAGTGTTCTTGAATAGCAGTGTACCTATATTTTTTGAGCTTTTTGTGGAAACTGTCTACCCAGTTCCAGAAGGGATTACTTGTGGAGTTGTCACTTTTTTAAGTAATATGTTCATGGGAGTGCTTTTATTTTTTCTCACATTTTATCATACAGGTAAGAAATTTGATTTAATTTACTATCTAAATGTGTTGCAAGAGAGGTGGCACTGATATAAAGGGAATTTATATGGAGAATTCTCACTAACGCAAATTATTTTATGTAAGTATTCAGATGCCAATAGAAATAACATCCACAGTTGTTTTTCTTGAAATGTATTCTAGCCCATGTGCACCCTTACTACCTCGGTTTTTGAATTAACTTGGGCTGGGGACCATCATTATATTTTAATTCTCTCCCCAACCTACCCTCTGGACAGGTGATTCTAATATTCAGGTTTCCCCTGAGAACCGCTGGTGCACTATTTAAAATATACTTAGACTCTATGTCTTAGCACAGGGTGTAAATTAATGTCAACAGTATAGATATAGTTTGAAGCCTTAGGAATAAATAAGAGAAGGTCACACAATATAAGAAATGCTCTAAAATGTGATACTCCAAGAGGCCACATTGTTTATAGGGAACTTTCTGACAGGCTTATAATTGAAATAATAACCATGTTAACCTCCTTGACTAGAAAATAAATTTTCAAAACTTTCAAAGCTATGAAACAGAATCATCCCTGGATGTTGGACAACTTCAGGCCTAGCATTTTCTCCTAACCACAGAAAGTGTCCAAATGATAGATGGATTTCTTAATGTAATTAACAACAAACAAGATCACTGTATCAGTCAATAACGCAGGTAAAGTAGGTTTTACTCTGCTAAACCTGATTTGAGTTGGGTTTTTCCTCTGAAGGAGAGTGATACTGATGAAGTCAGAAGGCCACTCCTTACTGCTTCCAGTAAGGAAAAAGCTTTCACCAGGTGTTAGAGTGAGGTCTTTGCTTCTGGTTCCCTTTCTCAACAGAATCTATGACTGTTACATATTGGCTTTAATCTGTTTCTGTTGTGTCACAATGGAAATGAAGATACTTTTTCTTCTCTGCCTGGTAAAGTGTCATAGATGGCTGTGATGCCCCCTAACATGATACAAACAACTTTCCAACTGATAGGCACAGGTTTGCTAAGTGGTGTGGCAGCCTAGCAGAACATGTTTTTTCCTGTCAGCTAGAAATAGAATTTTGCCCTCATAGTACTTGAAAACAACAGTAGTGTCAGGTAATGTTATCCCCCAACAAATCTGTGGTCTCTAGCATATAATAGACACATATTTATTGAGCAGTTTAAGGCAGAGAAGATGCCAGTAACAATAATCGCTCTAAACTATTTTTATTAATTAGGTTTTCATTACTATAATAAAATATGTAAGGCTGAGTACTTTATAAAGAAAAGAGGCTTATTTGGCTCATAGCTTTGGAAGCTCAAAAACATGGTGGCAGCTCAGCTCAGCTCTGGTGAAGACCTCATGGCATATAGCATCACAATGGTGGAAAGCACCTATGAGAGGCAGAGATCATATGGAAAGATAGCAAATAAGAGAGAGAAGAGGGGCAGCAATGACCTCCTACCTGGCCCTGCCTCTTAAAGGTCCCACCACTTGTTAACATGGCCACACTGGGAACTCAGCTCCCAACACATGAGCCTTTGGAGGACATACTCAAGCCATACTCATACCACAGCACTGTCTTACTGCAGAAGAGCTTACTGTACCCCTGCACATTTCACTTGGCCAGTAAAGTACCTGTTACTCTCTAGGTCTGGCCTCAGCTTTTGAAATGTCCAGCAGACATTAACATCTGACACAACTTAACTAGAACCAACATGAGTTAGTGCCCACTCTGCATCTTGCAAATTCATAGTGACCACATACTATAAGCAGATATTTTTGTTTCTCTGGCAAAGGCAGAAGAAACGCTTAGCACCATTTCTGTTCATTCCTATCCTAATGATACAATCAAGGACTTACCTGACCAGGAGAAAAAAGCTTCCATCTTTTTGTTTGGTGTATGATTGCATGTTCTGTACATATTTATATAGGTGTTAAACGTTTCCTGCCTAAACTCTGTGACTGTTGTGACCAAATAAAACTTGAAGTAGTAATTCACTTTAATCTACTAAGATTATTTTCAAGGAAAAAGAAGTCTTAGTAAACTTTGGCATTTCAAAGAGTTGATAAAAAGATACATATAAAATGGCACTCATGCCCAGGGCATCACTGGCATTCACCAGATGTCTGTGTTTTTACTCCTAGATAATGAGCTTATTGATGTTAGGAATTTAAGTGTCTAGGCTTTTGTTTTAAATAAGTGCTTTTTTGTGTGTGTTTGTGAGTATCTGAATATACACAGACATAGATGTACTCTGTCTCTCTCTTGAGACAAGGTTACTAGTACTATGAAATCTGTGTTGAAATTCTTTTCACATACAATTAATTGATCCCTAAAATTCCTGCAGCAGAGGTCCACATTCTTTATGGACAAAGGTATGATAATCCATATATGGCAAATCTGAAAGTAACTTCTAGTTCTGCAGCCCAGTACCCTAAACATTTTATATGATAAACTGAATTCCCTTCCATTAAAGCAAGCATTCAGATGTCATAATTCAGTAATTTAAAAACTCACCAGTTAAATGTAAAACTTTAGTTATTACTTATATGATTGTAGAGGTCCTGATTTTTTTTTTTTCCCCGATGGGACTGGGGTTTGGACTTAGGGCTTTGCACTTGCAATGCAGGTGGTCCCACTTGAGCTGCACCTCAGTCCATTTTTGCTCTGGTTATTTTGGAGATGGGGTCTTGTGAGCTGTTTGTCCAAGGTGCCAGATCCTCCTGATCTGAGCTTCCTGACTAGCTAGGATTACAGTAAAAGCCACCAGCGCCCAGCCTGGGTTATTGTTTTGTTTTGTTTTGTTTTGTTAAGAGATAGAGTCTCACAAGTATGTAGTCTGGTGGTCTACTTGGAATCTATTATAGGTAACATTTCAAGAGAGATACCCTGTTGGTTTTGACTTTTAAACTTTTAAAAAGAGATGACTGATAGAGCTAATCTTTATCTGTAATTTATATTATTTCATCCCATCTACAAAAGCATTTTTTCCTACAAATAATTTTAGAGGAGTTGTTTCTTTTGTTTTTGTTTATTGCATTGGGATGTAAAAGAAAAAATGTTCTACATTGATTTTTTTTCATCAGTGACTTTGGAGCAAATCAAAAATCCTAAACTCCAGAAGAAGGAAAAAAAAAAAAAGGAGATAGGGTCTCAGTATATTGTCCAGACTGGTCTCAAACTTATAGCTCAAGTAATCCTCTGCCTCAGTCTCCAAAATACCTGAAATTATAGACGCACCACTGCACCTGAGAAGAAGGCCTGAATTTTTAATCATCATGAGGATCTGTGGCTTTTTAGGCACCTCTCAAGGAAGTACTAAGCTTCCTGATGAGATTTTGCCCCCGTTCAGCTATCTTGTACGTAACTACATCAGATTATTTTTCAGGACTGTACAGCTATCCCCAATAGAATGCCCAAGTAGAATGTGTTGCCTAGCAAGGTAGGTTCCACTAGCAGTTTGTCTGCACAGAGCGGGTTGTGGCTGACATTGAGGCCAGTGTTGGTCAGGCTCCTGCACCAATGCCACTGGCTTAGTTGGAGTTCTGGGCCACAGACCTATCTCCATTCTCCTCTGAATACTTGGAACCATGTCAGAAGCTTCTTAGCATTTTTCTGACTTGGATTTTTCAAGGTCACTTTCAAAAAAAAAGTTACTTATTCCCTAATATAAGCATATTTGTAAAACTGAGTTGCTTGCTACAGTGTTTGCTTTGAGATCTCAGTGAGTTGAGACAACACAGTGATGCTTTATTCTAATAACTTCATATACAAAATCAATTTGAGAATGCTTTCATGTTCTCTGTGTGCTCTGAAGTTTATTCTGTTTTATATCCTGAAGTTTGTATTATCTGATACTTTTTGTTTATAGGAATTGCATCAGATTTTATCTCAAAATGTGTTTTGAAGTGGCTGACCATGAATTTGAGGCTGTTGCTCAAAAGATTTAGGGTCCTGGCCGAGGTGGGACCAGGTGACTAATGGTTACTAGGAGAGAAGGGTCAGGTTCAACAGATGTAGACAGGGGTGAAGTAATTTTATGTCTAAGAAATAAAACCTACCGACCCAGTTGGTAAAACCTACTGGGTAGTCAGTGTGAAATGAAAGGAGCAGGGCATGAAACTAGGAACCTGTGATGAAGATGGCTGCTCACCTTGAGGGAGAATGGAAACAATTTTGTTAAATCACTGTAAGAGAAAGTAGAAGATTGATTCTGGAGGGTGGGAGCTAGAAACAAACAAGTACTTGTAGATGGTCAAAACCAAAAGAATGGTATCATTAAAAGGAAAGATAAGGTGAAAAGTGTTGCAGTGCTTCTGGAAGGAAAAAGTAAGGATGAGCAACAACCCAATGGGTTCAAAGATGCTCAACAAAGCATCACAATTGGGCACAGAGCTCGCAGTACTGAGTGAAATGTAGCACTTACCTAACTGCAATGGGCAAAGAGAGGATTCCACTGCAATGTGTGGTCAACAGTAGGGAGCCAGCTAAAGAATGGGGTGCATGGCATAGTCCTGCCTTCCTGTACAGATTTCTTTTTCCTCTAGTGAGAGGCAGAGGGAAGGAATGCTGTGTAAGTAATTGTTCAGTCTAGCAGATAAAATATAGACATTTCACTGGATCAGGCTTATGACATTGAGCTTACAAAATCAGCAGTTGGCTTTGCAAGCACTAAGTCAAATTAAATGTTTAAGCAAGCCATTTCTTGCTTATTAGAGCACCTAAGCTGTGATTATTTTAGTGAGAAAATGTAGCCATTCCCCTGTCTCTGATCTTTTGCTTTCTGAAATGGCAAGTAATTTCAAAGAACACTTGCAGCTGACTGAGCCAATGAATTACCAAAAGGTGAATTTGACTTTTTAGAGAGAGACAACAGTAAAAACCAGTCAACACTGTGATACTAAAGAGCAATTATGAGACATTTTTGGACATTTCATCTGAACTCAGGTAGAAGGAATACTTTTAGAACTCTGATGAAATGTACAATCTGCTTTGACAATATTTGACAAATCCTATGCAAGGAGAAGCTGATGGTTGCTATACATATGTTGCTTTAGCTCCCCATTAATCAAAATTGCTAAGATTTAGGAAACGTCATTGTTGCAGACCATGTTTTCAGATACCATACTTTCTTTTATCTATTGCTTAAAATGCAGCCTTAAAGTCAGAGTGCGCTCTTTTAATATGAACAGTATATTTTTGTCTATAACATCACTGCTTTTCTCTTTTTTTATTGCTTCATCTTGCCTAGTAAAATTATCATCAAAAATCCAGGTTGTATGGTTAATATAAAAGCAGAAAATGCCTGCTGTGTTATTTTAGGAAATGTGAGAATAAAGACAGGATCCCAGAGGTCACAGCTTCTCAGAGTATTTAGGTTATACACAACCCAAGCAAAGCACAGAAAACAGCTTTGCATAAAAATGCCATTGGGATATATGCCTTTGTTTCACACTATAGAATAACATGTCTGACTTTTTAAATGTAGTAATTGAGAGATGAGGAGGCTGCATTTGTGAGCATAATATAGACAAAAGGCATTATAGCACCTTTTCTTACCAGTCGGTTTTCTGATTTCCATTCCTGAACATAAATTGCTCTTTTAGGCCATATGAATTATGGATTAAACTGAAGCAGCAGTGTGGTAATCTTTAGGATGAATTTTGAAAATGAAGACTGTATTAGTATTTTGTAGAAGGACAAAGGGAAAACATAAACCTATAGAAAGTGTAACCAAGAAAAGAGAAAGAAACTTGTTTCCCTCTTTAATTCATTTTTCACTGGAACTGATGAGTGGCTATTAGATAGAAAAGTTGTCCCTAACTGCCAACAACAACCTGCTTACACCAAGGAGCTTCTCACTTCAAAGCCTTGGAGTTGGGCAGAGGGAGTCTGGCCAGATGGCAAAGGCCCAGCTCAAGTCTCTGGAGCTCTAGGCAGCAGCCAGGCACAGCCATGATCTGGTGTGTGTTGGTAGCAAGTGGCCCAGGAATGTCTATTAGAGAGACCCAAATTCATGAGAGAGCATTTTTGAAAAAGAAGATTCTTTTTTTTTTCCTTTTTCTTTTATTATTCATATGTGTATACAAGGCTTGGTTCATTTCTCCCCCTTGCCCCCACCCCCTCCCTTACCACCCACTCGGCCCCCTCCCTCCTCCCCGCAATACCCAGCAGAAACTATTTTGCCCTTATTTCTAATTTTGTTGTAGAGTGAGTATAAGCAATAATAGGAAGGAACAAGGGTTTTTGCTGGTTGAGATAAGGATAGCTATACAGGGCATTGACTCACATTGATTTCCTGTGCGTGGGTGTTACCCTCTAGGTTAATTCTTCTTGAACTAACCTTTTCTCTAGTACCTGTTCCCCTTTTCCTATTGGCCTCAGTTGCTTTTAAGGTATTTGCTTTAATTTCTCTGCATTGAGGGCAACAAATGCTAGCTAATTTTTTAGGTGTCTTACCTATCCTCGCACCTCCCTTGTGTGCTCTCGCTTTTGTCATGTGCTCATAGTCCATTCCCCTTGTTGTGTTTGCCCTTGATCTAATGTCCACATATGAGGGAAAACATACGATTTTTGGTCTTTTGGGCCAGGCTAACCTCACTCAGAATGATGTTCTCCAATTCCATCCATTTACCAGCGAATGATAACATTTCGTTCTTCTTCATGGCTGCATAAAATTCCATTGTGTATAGATACCACATTTTCTTAATCCATTCGTCAGTGGTGGGGTATCTTGGCTGTTTCCATAACTTGGCTATTGTGAATAGTGCCACAATAAACATGGGTGTGCAGGTGCCTCTGGAGTAACCTGTGTCCCAGTCTTTTGGGTATATCCCCAAGAGTGGTATTACTGGATCAAATGGTAGATTGATGTCTAGCTGAAAAAGAAGATTCTTGATACCCAAGGTGACTTCTATAGGTTTTCCAATAATTGGTATCACATATTACCATTCGTACTAATAGGAAAAGGGGGGAAACAGGAAGAAATGAGCCAGAATGCTCACAGGGGCCTCTCTAGTGGTAGAATTATGATTGGTTTTGTTGTTATTTTACTTTGTTTTTCCATATATTGTCTAATCTGTTTTGCAGCAGTTCTACTTAATTTTTTTCTGGGAGCTACATACTTCCATAGGAAAGTGTTACCATAAAATTCAGGTGGTTTTTCTATTTGTCTTTTCAATCCATCAGACATTTCTAAACAGGGACAAAAGAGATGGTGATAGAAGACACTTAAAAAACAATTAACAAACTAACAAAGGTGATTGATTTTTTTTTTTCCTTTGGAGTAGGAGATTGATTTTGCAACCCATGTCAAGGTGGATGAAATTGATGAAAAGTTCTTTACAATATTAGTTTAAACTGTTGCACACAAAAGCCCTGTATTGCACACATGGCTTAGTCTCCAGACTGTCACTATTTATTGAAAGCCAGTTTCCAGGCTTTCCAGAGCGCACTTAATATCAGTGCTCTCAAATGCAGAGCAGATTCCTCCTGGCAGGTGTACAGGTGGTGTTCTGCTGGTGCTACATAACTGCTTAAAATTGCATGTTTTTGTCTTACAGAGTTGTCTTGGTTCAACTGGTGCCTTCCCGGGTCGTGTTTGCTCAGTCTCCTCCTCATTCTGTGCTTCAGGGAATCCTATGACAGACTCTATCTTGATGTGGTTGTCTCAGTTTAGTAGCACAGACTTGAAGGAGTTTAAAAAGAGACTGGAAATCAATACTGCACACTGCACATTTGCTCGGAATTGCACATCTAACAGGAAAAAAAGAAGAAAGAAACTTCATTCAGAGGTTTTGTTAGGTTACAGATTAATTTAATTACTAGTAGGTAATAATAATGTGTGACTTGAGTGGTTATAGGGAATTTTAAAACTCTACAAGTGGCATATGTGTGATTGACTGTGGGCAGAAGTGTGATGTCTTACACATAGAGCTCTTTCTCAGTCCCATCTCTCTTCTGTGCCAGTGCTAACCTACTGCTTAACTGTCATTCTGGGAAGAAATAAAGGGCAACTGTCACATGAAGATAACTCCTCCCAAAGTCATATGACAAAATAGGAAGAAATGCCACTAACTTCTAAAGAAGTTTGAACCCTGTATCAAATTAATTACAAAACAGCCAAGTGGTGTATCAGTGATAGAAAATAGCCACATGTACACTACATGTTTTTCTAATAAAGCCATTTCTTATATGACTCCTTATTTTTAATCAGGCCAGTGCCTTTGGCCATTCTTGTCATGATGTTCAAGTGCTTTCAAGGACTCCAGTGCACAGGCATGGCCTCTATCCCAACTCACCCTTATTTCTGTGAATACACTTTCATCTGCTAGACCCGTAATCATTGCAGCAGGAGTGATTAAATATTTGATAGAGTCACATTACTATTGTATGAAAAGTGTAATTCTATTATAATTTAGCACTTTGTTAGAAGTGAAATGACTAGCCACACAGAGCATGTGTGTCTTCAACCTGTATATGGTGGCCAACTGTTATTTACCAGGGTTAGATTTTATTAATGACCCTTGTTTGAAAAGAACAGTTTATAACATCAAAACTCTTAAACCTGCTGAGTGATTTCGGAATTGCACTCTTATAGGTTGTTAAATATTCAATTCTGTATGAAGTCAGTGTATTTAAGAGGACAGCATTTTGCCAGTACCTGTTTTCTTTCTATAAATGATAGATTTTTAAAAATAGTAAGTTTCTCATGGTACAGCTCTAGAACATTTATTTCACCAGGACATAAAACGTCCTGTGGTGGGAGTGTGATATCACAACTACCCACATTTCCATAATTCCCTAACACAAAGGAGTGGACCTTTCCCCAGAGAGTCAAGAGTAATACTTCGCCCTTAATATTTTCCACTCCTCCAACCGCCTCTCTTTTTTGTTCACTTGAAATTGTAATGTATTTATCAGATAATTGTCTATTTTCTTTGTCTTTTTCTGGACAGGGTGTAAGCCCAGGTGGGAAAGCATGGTTAGGAAAAGTTGGGCAGCACCTATTTCTGTTCATCTCTGTACATGTGCACAAACCATCTCTCACCTGCATGCACACCCCCCCAGCACCTATGCCTTCTCTCTTAGAACAAGTTCAAGGGTATGTATTAACTTACGTCAGTCCTGGAGGAGAATTCTAGGACTGCCTAGCATCTTCTAAGGTAAGAAAGTAAGAAATTGTAAACCTAGGAAAAAAAGAAAGCCCTCAAATTTAACATCTGTCTTTAGTCATTTTTTAATAATTCAAACTACGCTGCTCACTTAGCAGCAAGAATAGGAGGAAGTAAGAAACTTACTAAAGAGAAATCCTATAAAGCCAAACTTAATTCCAATTAACTCTCCCATCCTTAAATAAATATGAAATAAAAAGAACACAGTGTTCCTGAAGATGATTGAAAATTAGCCACTGAGGTTATCATAGGCTATGACCCACATACTAAATAACCACCACCCCCTCCTTACTAGAGAGGGGATAGAAAAGAGGGGAAAAGTATGAAATATTTGGTTTTAGTCACAACTGTTGTGTTTGAGAGTTTTGCTGTATAAAACCCTGCTGTAATAAGACTTCTGATATATAGCATTTTAATTAACAGTTAATTCCATTTTAACAAAAAGTACAGAATAATACTTTAAAAAATATTACCTACATACCCAACTAGTTCAAAGACATCCCAAGTGGGTAGTGATGTACAATTCTTGCATTGTACCAGGCACCAAATAAGTTTCTTAGCATATGTGAGATGAGACCAGTCCACCCATCTCGTCTGTGTCAGCTTACCCCACCATAGATAATTGTTCTAATCACAAATTGCAACCGTTCTTAATGATGAAACTTTCATCTGCCAGACCCCATATGAAAGAAACCAAGACTTTGAGGGTAGGCGAAGAAATATACATTATGTGTCTGATTATTGCAAATCATATTTTTTTATTTCTAGCATACATCAAAACAGAGTGGCTATTGTCTTTGTAGTTTCTAAACAAACATTACAGAACCCAAATAATATAATTGGGAGAAATCTTAACTCTCCAGTAATCCAAACTGTAAAATTAATTTTAAAAAAATCCTAGGAGGTAAAGTACCTTGTCATAGTTGTTCATCAGTATCTGTTGGGGATTGGCTCCAGGACCCCACTGCAGATACCAAAATCCTTGGATGCTCAGGTCTTCTGTATGAAATTAACTAGCATTTGCATTAGCTAATGTAATCCTCCAATGTACTTGAAATCTTCTCTAGATTGCTTGTAATACCTAGTATGATGTCAACACTATGTAAATAAATAGTTGTAACGTATTGCTTAAGGAATTAGAAAAAAGCCCATTCATGTTCAGTACAGATGCAGTTTTTTTTCCAAGTAGGTTTGATCTTCAGTGGAAGGCCAACTGCAGTGACAAAAGTAGAACTCAAACCCACATATCCTGACTCCCAAACTAGTTTTTCCCCTCTCTCAGTGAATTCTCAGCTTAATTTAAACCACTTGGGGGTGTTCATTAATATTCTTCCATGGCCAAAGTGAAGAGGCTTATGAGTAAACTGTCATTATTGAATATGGGAGGTATAGGGACTGAGGTGATTGCCTGGTTCATGGTGAAGTTACAAGTAAAATTTATAAGTAAATCAGAATCCTATAGGTGCTGTAACATCTCTTCAGTCTTAGCTTACAGTGATTTTATGTAAAGATTCTGATGAATAATTCAGTCTTCATAATCCCAACCAATAGCATTATTAATTGGTAAGAACATATTAGAGTATATGTTCCCTGTGGCTTATCAGTTAATACTTCACAGTGTATAGGAAGAAGCATTTTTAATATGATTTATGGTGGAGGGATAAGAACAAGGCAGTTATACAAATGCATTTCACTGGAAGACAGAGCTAACAAAACAGAGGGAATCATGTGCACGTGTCATTGTATATATTTAAACATATATGGCCTAAGGGCCAGGTTTTATCATGGATCATATATTCATGTTTAATTATTGAGAGTGTTTACAGCTTGTTTTTATGAAGCCTTTCTAATGAAAGATCCAAGCTAAGGGATTTTAAGTTGAAGAAATTAAATCCCCATCTACTTGTCTTTTAATTAGTTTTTTTAACTCTTATTTTTACTAAAATCCAAGTATTCATTTTGCTTCATTTTTAACTGAAGACCAAATGAAAATGCATAGCAAATTTGCTTTCAATTAATGTTAAAAGTCACATAAATCTCACATTTGTCCTTGCAATAGTAAGTATAAGAATTATTTTGCTCTTACCATATTATCAAATAACTGTAGAAGCTGTGATGCAGGGCTAGGGATGTAGCTCCATGGTAGAGCACTTGCCCCATGGTAGTGAACAAGGCCCTAGATTCAATCCCCATACTGAAAAAATTAAAAAAATAAAAAACCTATAATATGAAGAAAATGTCACATTTAAAAAGAAATAAAGGAAACTTGAGAACATTTGAACAGACCCATTTTATAAATAAATATAAGGAAAAATACAATTCTTTAATTTGGAATTATAATCATACAGAAAGGGACAACATAAAATTTATTTCTGTACCATCAAACAGAATGGTCTGTTCAAAAAGATAACCAATACTTAGAGGAATGTGATTATCCTGAAAGAACTGTGGGGTTTGGGGTGCTATTTTAAGAGCATGCACTGGGATACCCTGTGATTAGTGGAGCTGAGCTGCTGACATCTTGGCCACGCTGGGCACTCATCCCTTCTCACTCAGATGGAACCTCAGACTCTGGAGATGGCTCTAAGAATGAATACCAAGACCCTCAAGGACCCCTCGCAGGTGTCACCTCTGGTCAGCATATGGGAGTTAGAGAGGCTGCGAACAGGAGGACAGTCATGTAGCCCTAAAACTCTCCATTTAAACTCATTCTTGGTCAGGACTGAAACAATGCCCACCTCATATTTCACTATACAGTTTTCTCAGGCTCCTCATTATCTGAGGTACCCCAGCTTTCTGAGACCTTTCACAACTCTGAACTCGGATCCATACTTGAAAGTCTTTACTTCCTTGAACTGATTTCCTGGCACAGGCTTCTTTACCCACCACTCCTCCCCAGACTCCTAAGAAAAGGTACAGTCTCATCCCTGAGGAGTGAACAGGCCACACAACTGGTCTCCCTCTCCTGAGCAGGACCTGGGTGTGAGCAGATCCCAGGTAGACCTAAGATGAAGCAGTTCTCTCATCTATCTATATCTTAAAAACTGGAATATTTCCGTGACAGGAATTTCAAAGGTCTCTATCATCATTACTTGTTGCACTTTAATAGCTAATTACTTTATGTGGTCCTATGGTTATGCCTTTGAACCTGGTAGGCCTCAAACAATAGTTTTCCATCTCAGCTCACCCTCAAAAAGAGAAAACACAAGTTACCCAGCCCCAAGTGGTCTGTTCATTCAACAAGGTTTAATTTTTTAAAAAAAATTAAAACATAGCTAAAAATCAAAGCACGGAATTTCAGCAACTTTGATTAAAAGAAAAAAAAAAAAAAACTAAAACCGTTTTAGCTCTAAACCTGCTGGACTTAGTACCTGGTAAGGCTTGAGGGTTACCAGAAAATCAATCCAAGCATCACAGTACTTGGGGTTCCCTACTGATTTCTCCTAATTTACAAAGGAGACTTCTGCATCTTAAACAAAATGGCAAAGCTGACTTTGTCACTTCCAATTTACCTTAATGTTAGAAAATGGTATTTCTTTTAAACTACTACAGCATTTAGTTTAGATTTGTCTCATTTAAATTGGCTTTCTTCCCATTTACTCAGAGGGTTATAGAATGAAAGAAATGATCTAATTCAACCACCTCATTTTACAAATAGCTTAGCAAGTCCCCCACCTCCTAGGCCAGCATTCTTCCCATGAGTGATCAATGTGTTAGAACGTAAATGTTCTCACTTCTTCTAAAGTTTTGAAAATTACACAAGAAATAAATGCGTAACCATTATAAAACACCCAAGACAGGAATGTAGAGTGAAGTCCCCTTCGACATAAACGTGCTGTCTGACCCATTCTTCTTTCCAGAGGACATCACTGAAATCTTGTTTTCTATGCATATACATATGCACTATTCTAATATGCACTATTCTGTTTTCTTATTGGAAATATAATCATCAACTAAAGTCTCTTCACTATGAGAGAAGAAAGTGAATGACCTGTCCTTAAAATCCAAATAGATTTCTTGACCAGGCTTTCTTGGCTCCCCTATCTCTGCAGAGACACACAGTATTATAGAGAACAGAAGGTTGAGAAAATAAGCCTGTGTTAATTCATATTTTTAAGCTAATAGTCATGGAGGTTCTGATAATTCTTAACATTTTCCTTGTCACCTTCCTTAGCTTTCTTACCTTTAACACAGTCCACAGAACTGATGAACCATAGCAGAACCAGACTGAGCTTCTTTTGGTCACTTCTTCCATCTCCATCCATCTTTCTCCTTTCTGGCCACTTCCTCCCATTTCTGACCATGCTTGGAAGCAAGCTGCGTTAAACTTGATTGCCTGAAGTCACCAGCAGTAGAAAAGAAAGCTGGCCATGTGACTTCCTCGGGGCCCAGAGGGGACACAGAGAATAAGCTCTTATCCCAGGCCTGGTGACTTTAGCATTTGATCTTGAGCAAGTCACTTCCTTTCTCATTTATGCACATCTCCACATCTTCAAAATGAGGGGTGGGCAGTGATGTTCCCCTGGGCTTCTTCTAGTTCAGAACTCCAATCCATGCTTCTTTCAGTGTTAGAAAATGACCCGTGCACCTGCGGTCTGTAGACCAAAGAGCTTCCTAACACTTTCATGTTTGCTTGTGCAGCAGCTGTCCGCATGTAACCCCCGTCTGTGTATACATGAAATATGTCGCATATGCTTTGAACAGGAGAAATGGCTTCTTCAGTGTCTATGGTAGGAGATAAATGCAGGTGCTGTTTACTTTCCTGAAGGACTTTTTATATTAAGTGCAGGATTTAGTAAATTTATCAAATGCAATAAGAGAACGTCTGTCATCTGATGTTGAGGTAGTATTCTGGGAGCCAGGTAGAAGTACATTTACTCACCACAGTCAGACCAAAGCAGATACTTGTCCCTTAGTTTGGTTTAATTCATCAGGAAACAACCTGGGTTTGCAGCTGTCAAAACAAACTGTCAGGTCAGGAAGTAAGGCTGATCCTTGAACTTACATCTTCAGAGTTATGGCACGAAAGCACCATAAGTTTCTTGGCACCATTGTCATCTCTATATAGCCAAAGTCTTCCAGCAGAGCTGTGCAGATATCTTACCAAATGAGAGAGGAGGTGCAGCATGTCCAAGTATGAGCTGCATCTCGGCTTCATTGAGAGCACACAAGCTCTTGGAGAAAAATGAGACCAGTCCTGGAGGAGGAGGCCTGGGTCTTTAGAACAGCTGCCCAGCACCCTTGAAGCTTTGGGCAAGTGGCCTTTTCTTTCAGGCTTCTGTGTTCCCACCTCTAAAATGGAAGGATTGAAATAGGTGTTCCTTTCAGCTGTCCCTTTTCATTACTTCTCTGATCTACACCTATTGGTCACACGCAACAGAAAGCAGAAAATTAGTTGAGTGCAATACTTTTCCACTGCTCTTCCCAATTTATTCTTTGTCTTTTCAAACAAACCAGGAACTTTCCACAAGGCCCTGTTCATTGTGCGTTGGAAGTGCCAAGCAGTTATTCCTTCATTTGTTCATGCTTTTATTCATTCTTTATACAGAGTAATTTTAGGTATACAGTATACAACCTGCATGAAAGCAAAAGATGTCTGAACCCTCCAGAACCTTTTTGAAAGATTAAAAAAAAAAAAAAACTCTCCTAAACTAAAATTGTGAAGAAATAGTGACAGTTTACCAGAAACTTAGTCATGCAAAGCGGGAGCTGAAATATTTTCTGATATCATCATTAACCATATTTGATTTCAAGAAAAGGATATTCTATGGGCTAGAGCATGGCTCAAGCCATAGAGCACCTTTCTCACAAACACAAAGCCCAGAATTCGAACCTCAGTAATGCCAAATAAAAGGATATTTTGTACCACTGGAATATCCTTCATGAATGAGAACTCAGTTCTGTCTGGGAGCATAAAATCAATTTGGGTCTGAGGAATCTCAACCCTTCCATCATTCCATGACAGGAATTGGGTTATTTCCCATTCCTTTAAGACAGAATTTAACAAATACACACCCACAAACGCTCCTAAGGCTTTGTGACTCTCCTTTTTAATGGGAATTTGAATTTTAACAAAGAACACTCAACCCTGAAAGGAAGCATTTCTAATGATAGAATTGAGGATATCAGCAACCAGACAGAGGGGCTACTTTGGGGGCTGGAAATGGAGATGTCCTGTGAGTGAACTTCAGCCATACCTGATACATTGCTTGAAGTCCCTGCCTCTGAGCCTGTGCCAAAATCCAGAGAATGCTAATGAGGGGGGAAGGGGGAGAGATTGGCATATTTTAGTCCCCACAGATGATTGTATTTACTACATATGTCCCCAGTTCCAAATTTACTTCCCTCTACACTAGAATTACATTCTTTTGGAGTCTTATGAAAGTTAATAGGAAAATTCTGCCACTGTCCTCCCAAAATGCATCCACAAGTCCAGACAAACTCATTTCCTTTGCCTACACACATAACTATTTCTGTTTCCATCTGTGACTCAGGGAAAGTGCCTGAGTGAAACCTTGAGAGGTGAGTGATCCCACTTCACCTGCCATAGGCAGAATGGGACCACTCAGTGAAATCCAACTAAAACTGAGGTGTGTGGTGGCGGTAGTCAGTTCTTTCTTAGTCCTTCCCTGAATTCACCAATTCACATTGCATTGCTCTTCCTGACCAGAAAGTCTTTTTCCTAAGTAATGCAAATGTCTCCAATGGAATCATCATTTCCCTACATACCTCCACCATCCTTTGGGCTTGTATGCCAGAATCCTTGCTCCATGTCCTGAAGGACCTTCACCCTAAACCCTTCACTTCTCTTTTGTAATTGCACTTGTCTTTTTCAAGAAAAAAAAAAATCAGTTGATCTCTTAGCCCTTCTAGTTCACCATCTTCTATCTCAGTACAGAAAAGTTCCTCTTTTTTATTTTAACTTGATAAAACTCCTCCTCCCCCCAGGCACAGGAAATTATGCTGCATTCTGTTGCCTGTAAGTGTCCTTCCATCTAAGTGGGGGGAAGGTCACTCTAATGAACTAGATGCTGATGCTCTTGCCTACTCTTATCAATATTCCTTTACCAGTAAATTCTTTGTTACCTAGGCCTTGAAATTTTTATGTTTTTTAAACCTTAATTTTTCATATACAAACTGCTCCTTTCATCTTAAAGCAGACTATGATCCTTTTCTCTCTAATAATACAATTTGAACAGAACACTCTAAAATAAAGTCAAGCATGGATTTCACCATAGCCAATATTAAATGCTGGAGGAAGCAGATCATATAAAGATTTTTAAAAGAAGGAAAACAACCAGAATGGAGAAATCTGTATCCAGTAATTCAATCAGCACATTTGGTGCTCCTGCTATATGCTGGCCATTGGAGTAGACACTGAGGATGCAGAAACAGATAAACTGGTCCCTTGGCCCTCACAGAGATTTACATTCTAGTGAACCTAGTCATAAGAAAGAAAGAAAAAAAACTGTAATTCAAAGCCAGCAGCCACCCCCAAAGAGCTTTTGGAAACTTTGTAGCTCATCTCTGCAGCCATCTTGGTTTCTGTATGGGATCTTATTCTCTTGGGAAAACACATTCTAAATCTTGTTTTCTTGAGCCATTAAAAATCCATGTCTGTCCCTAATCAGTGCATAGTTATGTATGACCTTCAAAGAGTAAAAAAAAATGCCCCTGAACAGCCTTTGAAAGGAAAGGCAGAGAAATATGTTTTGATGGCTTGAAAAGAAAAGGAAAGGTTTTTAGAGAGTGCTAACAAGCTTCCAAAGGTTTCACATCTGCTAGCATTCATTCAGGCATGGGTATAAAGCCAAGAGACGAGTCTTCAAGCAAGGGGAAGGCAGGGATCAGGTAAGGACATTGATAAACTGAGACCCCAAAGAAAGAGCTGCTATACTTTAAGCCAAGCCCTAAGGGCTGGGGATGTAGCTCAGTGATAAAACATGTGCTTAGTATGTACAAGGCCCTGGGTTTAATCCCCACAACACCAAAAATTAGCTATAAGCCACTCCTGTAGACATGTTTGTCAATGTGTCTGCCAAGCCAAGAGGAGGATGAGATTTGGAGACAAGCAGAGCAGAAATTGGCTCTTTCTCACTGAGTCAT